ATCAATTCATTAAACATGCGTCATTCGATTAAAATCAAACAATAATATCATCCCAAGTCATTACAATCAAATCCCTAACACAAGGAACTAGGGTTCTTCATACCCAAGTGAGAGAAGGGTTCTACTCCATAGAGAGAGAAGAGAAGACAAGAATCGGATTAGTCATACTCATAACGATGAGGATAATCTGCTCCGGGACGATGATTTTCACTCCTATGACGATCTCCAGGCACGATTCGATGAAATCCAGCTCTAGGACAGCTTCTATGATGTGTTCTTCGCACTTTCTCTCTCTAGGGCTCTGTTTTTGCTCTGAAAACACGATTCTCCCACTTCTGGCTCGGATTAGGCTTTAAAACCGGCTTTCCCGAGTTGCACGTCCAGGTGCACGGCCGTGCACAACACCATTCTGGCCGTGCACCCTGAAACGCGCCGTATCAATAAGTCTGCCTTCGTCCATCTTGCACGGCCAGGTGCACGGCCGTGCAATCTTCAGGGTCTGGCCGTGCATGGCCTCGGCATGAGGTGCACGGCCAACTTGCATCCGTGCACGGCCGTGCAGCATCCCTGGTCTGCCCGTGCACTCCCCAAACAGCTCGCCATTCGTCCGTTCTTCGTCCAATCGACCCCAGAAAGCCTTCATTCACGTACTAGGACCTGAAATATCACAAACAAGCACAACCTAGCGTGAAATCGGCCTAAAACACGAGAATCAACACCTCAAACGGTGTAAGTATGAGGGTAAAAACATGTGTAAATGACGGTCTATCAATATTCTGGTTGTGGTGGATTACGTCTCGAGGTGGGCAGAAGCGCAGGTCATGCTCACCAACGATGCAAGACATGTATGCTCGTTTTCCCAGAAGGGAACACCTCAAGCCATCATTAGCGATAGAGGAATCCATTTTCAAGGTCACTTTACTAAACTCCTATCTCGATATGATGTTACGTATAAGGTGTCTATGGCTTACCATCCAACCGAGCTGACGAACCGGGAATTGAAAAGGATCAAGGAAAAGACAGTGGATCAATCCTGCAAAGACTAATCCACCAAGCTCGATGATGCTCTATGAGCGTATAGGACAACATACAATATGCCGATTGGTACTTCTCCCTATCGGCTTGTCTATGGAAAGGAATTTTGGGCCCTTAAGCTACTAAACCTTTATCTTAGTCTCGTAGGTACCGAACAAAAAATGCAGGTGATGGAGTTGGAAGAGTGGCGTTACCACACCTATGAGAACACCCGGCTGTATAAGGAGAGAACAAACATCTCCATGACGCTCATCTAAAAGGGCCCAAAGAGTTTCAGGTAGGCGATCGAGTTCTACGGTGCCCACCTTGAATGTGTAGACCTCTTTAGTTGACATGGTTCTCATCCAGGAGTTTGTGTTTTCAAAGTGAGATTGGAGTAACGTTCACTTGGCCTCGACTATTCTAACTAGTGCAATGAAGAACTATAGTGCATACCATGTTGATTGTTTACCGAGTTGTATTGGTATGAGTAGATTTGCTTGGGGACAAGCAAACAACTATATGTGGGGGATTGATAACACCAAAAATGTATTATTTAACCCCTATTTGCAAAATTGAAAATTGTTGGTGTCAAGTTCGGCTATGTTTAAGAAATGAAATTCAAAAATATTGACTCATGCCTTGAAAATAAGAATAAAGAGCACATTCAAAGAGCCCATTGTTTTTTAGAGTCCCCCGGTGAACACCTTGAATGTCTAGACCTCTTTAGTCGACATGGTTCTCATCCATGAGGTTGTGGTTTCAAAGTGATATGGGAGTAACATTCACTTGACCTCGACTATTCTAACTAGTTCAATAAAGAACTATAGTGCATACCATGTTGATTGTTCACCGAGTTGTGTTGGAATAAGTAGGTTTGCTTTGGGACAAGCAAAGACCTAAGTGTGGAGGAGTTGATAACACCAAAAATGGTGTTATTTAGCCCCTATTTGCAAAATTGTAAATTGTTGGTGTCAAGTTCGGCTATGTTTAAGAAAGAAGATTCCAAAATTGACTCCTACCTTGAAAAGAAAAATAAAAATCACCTTCAAAGAGCCCATTGTTTTTTAGAGTCCCCAGGTGCACACCTTGAATGTCTTGACCTCTTTAGTCGACATGTTCTGTATTTTCTAAGTGAGATTGGAGTAACCTTCACTTGGCCCCAACTATTCTAACTAGTGCAATAAATAACTAATTGCATACCAAGTTGTACTGGTATGAGTAAGTTTTCTTGGGGACAAGAAAACATCTAAGTGTGGGGGAGTTGATAACACCCAAAATGGTGTTATTTAGCCCCTATGTTTAGGGTCGTTTTATGTCATTTCATGGTCCCATTAGTTGATAATTCATCAAATGCAACCCTAATATGTTCCTCATAGATTATTATTTCATTTTAAGGTGTTTTGGATGATATATAGGTTTTAGGTAGGAAAAGGGGGTCACAAGTGTAGAAAGGGGGCAAAAATGAGAGATGATAGTTAGGGGGGTCGAGATCATTATCGGGATCATGGAGATCGTGAAATCCAGAAGGAATATCGGGCATTGAAGCCAATTCACGTCCACGATTTTTGGGGATGTAACCGGGAACTCGGAGAAGCCATCGTCAAAGGAAGACATAAACTCTCGATAATGACACGCAGGCTTTACTTACTAGACTGCAAGACGAGATTGCGGCTGCAACTTAGGGATTGTGAACGCGAAGTCCAGCCACACACTCTCACATCATCATATCGGGAACAGTATCGTCTCAAGATCGGGGCCGCTTACCAAAGATCACGGCCACGATCTCCTGTCCCATACCCGCAACTTGCCAGTCATCACGGAAATTTATAAATAGGGGATTCCTCTCCTTGAGTAGAGTGGCTTTACGAAGATTTCTTGTTCCAAAGTGAGGTTAAAATGAGAAGTAGAAACTTGGAGAAGAAGAAGTAGAGGAGAGCACTAGAGGAGGATTTTCATCACTTGAAGACCCATTTTCATTATTTCTTCCCATCTTTTCATGTCTCTTCTACCCCTCTTCTTGGGGTAATCCATCAAGGAACTTTGGGGCCTAGTCCCAAAAACGCTAACCTAGGTTTGACATGTATTAGGATGTTTTATGCTTGATTGTGGATGATATTGAATCTATCTATCTATGTCTATTTGGTGTTTGTTTCTTTATTGCATCAAGTAGTGTGGGATTGTCTGTATCTCATTTTCCCTAATTGCAACTTAGGTGGTAAGAATAAATCATTCTCCTTCTTGTGATTTATGGAAGAATTGAGTTTACCTAGAGTTTTTATTTCTTTATCTATTTTAATTATTCCTTGAACTAGTCTTTCCGAATCTTTTCGTGATAGCCTACCACTTAGTATTGCATTATTAGAGTGGATTAGAGTTGTTTGGCGTCTTAGATTAGATGAATGATCTAGAAGTCTAGTATTTTCAATAGAATCTCAGCAAACTCTACTTTGAAAGTTTGTTCGGGTTCAAGCGTGTCACCTCAGAGAACCTTGATCTCTTCCTTTAGGTTCTCCTATCTATTGCTCTAAGAAATCCTTGAGCTCTTTTGGCATTGAGGACTGCGGTTAAAGAAGCGATGTAGGGCTCCATAGAATAGCATGTTGACCATGTATAGAACTACTAGTTGGTCATACATCATTAGAGCTTGTTGTTGAGTAGTACTCTACCCTTGCTCTTTATATGGAGGTCATGCTCCAAATCCAAGCGATGTTGAGTTTGATTTCTTCATCCAATTGGGAATGGATGAAGCCTTATCGTCCACTGTGCATTGTGAACGTAAGTTGCATTATTGGATGTTATTTTGGGATAGTGAGCTGGCATTTGAACATCGGGAAGTGGCCAAGGTCCAACTAGTAGTTGGGACCAACAAATAATTGTTATTCATACGTTTAGGCGTTCGTCTGATATGGTCGCCAATTATATAGGTGTGTTGAAATCGTGGTTCTGAGGATAGCTTTGACCAATATAGTCGACATTGGACTTCGGAATTCGCCTATTGCCACACAGTCTTACCCTTCGTGATCATGTTCACCAAACTGATGCGGATAAATTTCTTATTATTTTATCATCATAGAGTTGCTTTCAACTCTCCGATTTGCACATTAATAACGGTAAAGGGATCTTCTAATTCCATTGACATCTTTAACGGCCATAGGAGCGTACCTCCGGGACCAATTTTGAGATTTAGCTTCCATGGATGTAAAGTGTTCCAGAGCTTGTGCAGCAGACATTCACTTTATGTCACCTTCAGCTTCCTCCTTTACCAACACGATGGTATTTAGGTCAAGACCTTTACCAAAGATATCCACGAGTTGTATTTTCCCAAAAACATGGTGGGAGCATGTTCCAAGAAGTTTCTTGGAATCACTGCAAGCCTCATACAGAGATTCAAAAGTAGGCTACCCAAAGAGATCAATCTGTTCTCTTAGATCGTTGGTTCTCCATTAAGAGAAGAACTCTTCTATGAAAGATTAGACCAAATCGTCCCGCATATGGAAGGTACCTGACGCTTGGCAATTTATCCAGCTCTTTGCTTTCCTCCTTGTGAAGAAAGAAAATAGACATAGTCAAATTGCACCTAGCTCAACATCGAGATGTTGTGCAGAATCACATATTTCCATAACGTTTTGATGTGTTCGGAAAAAAATTTGTTACGTCATCCTTCAAAACGTCTAACATTTTGGACCATGCAAATTGGAAGTCAACAGCTCAAAATTTGGGACAGTAATCAACAGTAGAACTATGATGGAATCGATGTTTACAGCTTGAAGCTTGGTATACTCATATAGAATTCGTGTCGCCATGCCTCTTGGAGATGCTGGTTCAGAAGGCGGTATATTGTTTTCCACTTCTAAACACTTACTATAGAGAGCATTGTAACACCTTAGGCAAATCCCACATCGACAAAGCACGGGAGAGATCCATGGTTCATAAGTAGGAAACCAGCCTTAACTGACAAGACGCGTTTTGGGGTGTAACGGAGGAGTTCTTGTGAGAACTCCAAAGTTAAACGTGCTCAGTGTGGAGTACAACAAGGATGGGTGACCTTATGGGAAGTCACCCTGAATTGCACCCCAAGTCGAAAACCGTGCGGGTGTAGAGGCCCAAAGCGGACAGTATCTTGTCGGGAAAAGGTTCGGGATGTTACAAGTGGTATCAGAGCCTCTCCGCGTCCCTCTTGAACGATGGTGGGGCAAACCTCAACGAGGACGTTGAGTCCCAAGGGGGGGTGTATGTAACACCTTAGGCAAATCCCACATCGACAAAGCACGGGAGAGATCCATGGTTCATAAGTAGGAAACCAGCCTTAACTGACAAGACGCGTTTTGGGGTGTAACGGAGGAGTTCTTGTGAGAACTCCAAAGTTAAACGTGCTCAGTGTGGAGTACAACAAGGATGGGTGACCTTATGGGAAGTCACCCTGAATTGCACCCCAAGTCGAAAACCGTGCGGGTGTAGAGGCGCAAAGCGGACAGTATCTTGTCGGGAAAAGGTTCGGGATGTTACAAGTGGTATCAGAGCCTCTCCGCGTCCCTCTTGAACGATGGTGGGGCAAACCTCAACGAGGACGTTGAGTCCCAAGGGGGGGTGTATGTAACACCTTAGGCAAATCCCACATCGACAAAGCACGGGAGAGATCCATGGTTCATAAGTAGGAAACCAGCCTTAACTGACAAGACGCGTTTTGGGATGTTACAGCATTAAGGCAAAGAGCTATGATATGCTTTCCTTTAGAGGCTCTCTTTCTCGCTAGTGGTGTTTTACACTAAGTCGATTAAGCGGTACTACTATGATAAACACGATATTGGACTGCCCTTGGTTTATGTTTACACAAAAGTAGTGGCAAAGGCACCTTAAGCCCAGGGGAAGCTATCACCCACCTCCCCACCCCCCTCTCCCCCTCAACTAGCAAAATTATGTAAAATGACATGTAAATTTGATAAGAAATATAGTGGTTGGTAAGATCAAGTGTAGTCCCCCGTGCGCGCGTCAAATTCTAATTCTTTGAGTTGTAGTTTTCTGTTTAGCGCGTCCCCTTTTTCCTCGTTTAGATTCCTGGCTCTGCCACCGCACAAAAGCTACTTTAAAAAAACTGCCAAACGACGAGTCTCTATAAAATGGTGTCAGAACCTCCTAATTTTGCCATCATTTGTTGTTCTGACTGTTACTTTTGTCCTTTTATGTTTGAGTTTAGACTCCAACTACAACCTACATAACAGATAACTACACGAAAAGAAGAAAAATAGGACATAATACAAACATAAATGAAAGAAGACATGAAAAGACTAAAAACAAAAAGACTCTGAACAAGAAACATAAAACAAAATTAACACGAGACTCACATAACTGAATTTATTTTCTATTAATTCTGCTTAACTGCGACAAATATGCAAAGTAGAAAAGAGCAAAAATTTAATTAATTATTAACAACGCAAGTTTGGTTTACTGTTCCATACGATTAAATAGCTAAACAGACCGGTTTTAGCGGAAACATCTACCATTTACCCAAAATAATTACGAGGGTTACTGTTCACAACATTGGAGGTTTAATTATGCGGTCCGGTCTATCATAAACCCGCCCTTGGTAGACAAAGGAGAAAGGCACGGATGATAAGTAATGAGTTGATTGACAGAACACATATATATGTTAATCTAATTGATCCACGTGTATAGGAAGGGTAGTCATATGTATAGACGATAATTTCGACATCGTTCGATTCATTCTATAAACGGATGGAATTAAGACAGAACCGAAACAAGGGAAAAGAAAAAAAATGAGGACAAGAACTGGACGGAAAGTATTGGTTCGATTCGGTCCAATCCAAATCCATATTTAATTCATTTTTCTCCATACTTTCAAATAATTCGTAGAACCAAATTATATTCAATTCTACCCAATTCAATCCAAATATCGATTCAGTACGATTCGATCTGATGTTGACCCCGAATTGTTGCCTACCCCTAACTATAAATGACATTAATAGATAAGAGTATTAAAAATAGCACAACTACTAACGATTTAGTCATCGATATATGTGGTCTAAAGAGTACAATGGTACGACATGCTATATTACTATAAGTACTTTTTTCTTTGACAACGAACCAACCAAAATTAACATAATCCTAGAGCCCTCGCATACTATGACTATCAAGTATCAACTTAATTAAAATAGCACAACTACTAACAATTTAGTCATCGATATATGTGGTCTAATGAGTACAATGGTACGACACGATATGTTACTACAAGTACTTTTTTCTTTGACAATGAACCAACCAAAATTAACATAAGCCCAGAGCCCTCGCATTCTATGACCATCAGCTTCATTAAAATATCCAACTACTATCGATTACAATGGTATGACACGATATATTACTATAAGTACTTTGTTCTTTCACAACGAACCAATAAAAATTAAGATAAGCCTAGAGCCCTCGCCTACTGTGACTATCAGCTTAGTTAACTATGATCGCAGGTGAGTCAAGACACACAATTTGATAAGTCCTCTTTATAAGTAGCAACTTAATCATACATTGTGTAAAGGTGCGTGATTGTTTTGGCCAACATAAAACATTTTAATATAGTCGTGAACCAAAATTCGTATACTAACTAAATTATTAACCAACTCAAAAAATTGCATTACACAAAAGTACTGTAAAGTTAGTTTTTTTACACAAAAGTTTATTCAAATGTAATATTTTTGGCATTGAAGAGGATCCTCCACTCTCCTAAGTTTTTTTTTACACAAAAGTTTATTCAAATGTAATATTTTTGGCCTTGAAGAGGATCCTCCACACTCCTTAGCACGAGATTTTGTGTAACTTAATTTTTTTATAATTAAAAAAAATATTAACAATATAATCAATTTGCATTGCACAAAGGTTCTATATAGTATCCATTTAACTCTTAGTCTTTCACACATTAGTATAATTAGATGTGATAATTTCAATAACTTCATTTTATTATCAGACCACATATTATGAAGCATTTCTGTAACATCATTCTATAACAATTACATAAATTAAAAATACATTAAGTAGACCTTTATATCTTATTTATCAATTCAATAAATGCATTATGCAAGTTTTCCATAATGATAAAGACACTGCACAAAGTTTATGCATAGATCACAATGCATAGATATTTATTTCTGATGTATCAATTAAACATGCGTATTAAATAAGTCTTTTGTAACGAATAAGACACTACCTAAAGATTATGGAGATAAAACCATTTCTTATACATCAATTAAACAAATATATTTCGTAATATTCCGTAATGATGAGACACTATATAAAGTTTAAAAAGGTATCTTACCAGAACGATTTTGTGAATTATTTAATTTCAACTAAATATTTAAATGAGTTAATAAAATTTAAATATAATTAGTTTATATCGCTGCGAAGCGCGGGTCAAAAACTAGTTGTAATAAAAACGTGAGCCGAATCTATTCAATTGACCAATCCAATCAATCCTAACTACCTCTACTACTCAGCCCCTCCTCTCCTACCCAACATTACTAGGGGTGGGCATTGGGTGGGTCGGGTGGATTTTGACCATAAAATGCATCCACCCGCGCTTAAACGGATTGCTAATTTTTAACCCACCATCCACCCACATTTAGTCTCGGGTTGGGTCGGGCAGATGGTGGATGATGCGAGTGGGTTTGTGGGTTCACCCACATCACAATGTATATAATATAAAGGAGTTAACTTGACATGATAATAGGTGAAGAGAGTTATCGGGGGAAACAAGAAGATGAAATAGGGCGAAAAATGTCGAATTTGTTCTTAAATTGGATAGAAATTCTATTATGAAAGAGTTTTCTACAGATTAAGATGATTATCAGGTGCAAGGAACTAAGGAAAATAATTCCACAAAGGAAAAAGCGGTGATCTAGGCACAAGAATTAGAGGGGAAAATAAAGGGAAGAAGAGGGGATCACTATTTGGAAGGTTGACTTTGAGGTTCAAACTCCAGGAGCAGTCCTAGTTTATGTCTAACGTCTCCACTCTCCCCTCTCTAACGCCAACAACTTTGATCTTTTTGCTGTTGGGTTGAGCGGGTCACCCGCGCACCCACCCACAACTCACCCACCACCCGGTGGATGGCTCCCAGCGCAACCCGTCACCCACCCACAGACCCACGACCCACCCACTTAACGAAATTCGGGTCAAATGCGGGTGGGTCGGCCCAAACCCGCGGATGATCCACCCGCATGCCCAACCCTAAACATTACTAATATTAATGATAAATACAAAATAATAAATATCTATAATCATAATTATAGTTAGCATTATAACGGATTTTCATAAGAGGTTAAAGGTCAATGTCCCCTTAGTTTTGAAAGTTTGAGGTTAACTCTCTCTCTATTGTGCAGTGCAGGATTGTCTCTACAACTGAAGGTGGATGCTGCGGCTATTTCGCAATGAACCTCGTTGGAAGCGGAAGAATGCGTGGAAATGCACAGCAACCTCGGCAAGAGAGATTATCTTTTGGGATTGAAACTAAAGATTTCATCGCTCTACTCTCACACTGTCTTGTTTGTGTGCCTGCCTTGATTCCCACATACATAACATGGCTCGCTGAATCCCTACTCCAACTTTTCACACAATTCATCACCATCGGGAATGTTATCCCTCGCATCCCATAAGAAGCAAGCAATATTACACAGAATCAAATCCCAACCAAGATATTAAAAATCATTCTCCAATCAAATTTAGAGCAACCAAAAATATACTCACTTAGCTCAAAAGACACTAGGTTCAGTGAATAAATGGATTCTGCAATCATTCTGGGGTAGGCAGTTTGAGCAAGGCAGAATGCCTTCCTTTGGCGAGCAATAAATTCCAGTCCAATTAAGACGGCATTCAGAGAGCTGAAACTACACGTGCAGTGTAGCCAAAATGCAATGTCTTTTAGACACCATCTATTCGACAACACCACAGAGAGCAGCATTCATCACCATACCATACTGAAATAGCAGAATAGCTACCATTGTATCCATCATCCTTCCACAATATAAAAAGTACCTAACAACAATCTCACCAAAAGATTCTCCTCCTAACATTTAAAGAACGTCCATCTTTGATCCAAACTCATCTCAAAAAGGAATGCCACAAGAGACTACAAATATCGGTGTTCATCTTTCTATACACACAACGTACCAAAGTGGTACAAACATAACCACGCATCACAGTCCAAGAAAAGAAAACAAGTATTTGAAGAAGTCGGAACTTAGAACTTTCATTTGCTGCTGAAACTTGCAGATATTGTGTAGAAATGAGAGAGAGAAAAGATGCTAAACCTAGTAGTACTATTTTAGCTACTGTAGTAATATGACCGAAGCATTCCAGGCAACAAGAAGATCGCGAAGGGGGGTTTTTCTTTTACAAAAACAAGTATTGAGAAAGCGTTACCCAAATTGTCACCACCATTGATGGACAAGAACTCCACTTTCTCTTAGAGAAGTGAACAGATCCAAGCATTGCTCATACGTCTTCTCGTATTTGGGGCTCCTCACTCCAGGGCAACATCTCTGCCACCTATTGTAATGGCATTCAAGAAACAGTTCATCAATCAAACAAATCGCTCCAGTTTTGAACAACCTCGGAATCAAGTCGAACTCGGTCCCTTCCACATCCATCTTCATCACAACGAAGTCCTTCTCTGTCACTGTCCTCTTCAGCCACTGGGCGAAATCAAACCCTTCGATCTCATCAACCACTCCATCGAATCCCCCACCAGAGGAAGAAGATTTCACCGGTTGAATCCTCCCCATCCCTCTCCCTTTATCCGAAACCTGTTCCCCAGGATCCCGATGGACTTCAAACGACAAAGTTTCATTCTTCACCCAAGCAGCATAAGGCAGCAAGGTGACACCTTTCTTCAGCTTATACTGCTCATGGAAAGTTTTGTCAGCTTCAACTGCATACACCTCGAAGGTCTTGTTCTGCTTTGGGTACTGCTTCCTGAACCAGCTCCCGATGCTTGAACCATAGCTCCTTGCTCCAACATCTACATACACGTATCTGTTCTTGAAGCTTATATCGGCCATTGCTGGTAAATACTTAACGTTGTTTATATTCCTCTTCAGTGTAATCCATGGCTTGAGTGGCTCCTGTTTAATAAGAGGCTCGGCATCACGGACCAACTCCAGCTTGTGCCCTGGAATCGAGCATTTATTTCCCGAACCGCCGCCGGCAGGGGATTTCCCCGGGCGGCGAAGAATTTGAGTGTGTTTTTGCAGAACGATCTCTCGAATGTACGGCATCGACGAATCGTAACCGTCGACATCGCGAGACCGGATCAGCTTACAAGAATTGAATAAATCAAGAAATGAATCAAAACTATACGTATCATTCGCCCTCACATGGACCACCGCAAACCCTTCGGGTTTGAGCGTCCGGGAAATCTCCGATGCGAAATCGAGCGGGCGAGACACCCCGTCGAATCGGCCTCCGCCAGAGAAAATGAAGTCGAAGGTGTCGCCGCCGAACGGAATGCGGTTCAATTTGGCGGAAATCACCAGCGGCTTCGACGCCTTCTTGTAAATTCCGACGGCATCGGAAACGCCAATCTCCTTCAGAGCGAAGACCTCCTGGCCGAAGGGCGTCTCGACGCAGAGAGACTTGGAGTCCGGGGAGAGGAATCCTTCGGAGATCAGATCTTGGAAGACGGAGGAGTAGAAGTGGACGGACTTGATCCAGTCCTTGCTTGTGTAGAGATCACTCCTCGACTGTCCAGCCGGCTGAGATCGGACGGCCTTGTTGACGACTCCAGTTCCGGCAACGAAATTGAAGTTCTCCGGGAGGGGGAAGAAGCAGAAGTTGCCGACGTTGCAAGACTCCCCGGTTATGGTGACGACGTAGGCGAAACGGACGACGATGAGTAAAACACCGAGGAGGAGCACCCGCGCTAGAATGTTCCTCAGAAAGCTGGGCTTCCCCGCACCGACCTCCATGAATGCGGTGCGAGAAAAAGGAATTGAGTGATTTTGAAAGGAGAGAGAGTGGGAAAAGGGGGGAGGGAATCGGAAGCCCTAAAATTGCTACCGGGAGCAGAAGCGAGCGGAGGTGTGGTTAGCTCCGACGAGGGTATTTCTGCGGGAGAGAGGGGTAGAGATTGGGAAGAAGATGAGAAGGGCGGAAGCGGAAAGCATGATTTTGAGGGGACAAGGGTTTTGATGGCGAGAGAGGGAGAGCAGAGAGGGGTAGAGTCTGGTTTAGGGGTTGAAGGAAAGGGAAATGGACATGGCTGATGGCTCTGTCTGGAGGATTGAATTGGGAGGAGATTCCGAGGTGGGAGAAGAGGAAGAGGGGATTTGGTAATTTGCAGGAAGGAAAGGGGAAAGTAGGCGAAAGCAAAAGGGTAAGTAAGTAGCAGAGAGAGAGAGAGGGAATAAAGGCTGAACGCGGTGTGTTGTGTTGTGTGGTGAGTGCCTGAGTGGTGACCGGAAGAGGCGGTTGTGACGCGTAGTGCAAGTGGCCGTTGGGTTGGGTTGGGTTGGGTTGGGTTGGGTTGGGTTGGTGTGGAATGGAGAAGTAATTGAGATTGCCATACCCCGACCGACGACTTTTTGCTGGGCCCTGGACCCTGGACCCTACCTTTACCCAGAAGATTCTTTACTTTGTAGTTTGTACAGCCCAATAATTATTAATTTCTAAGATGCTCGGTTAATTAAAAAAGAAAATTTTCCTTCGAGGAATCAAACGCGTACAACAGGAGGGATATTAGTATATTACATTATTACGGGTAGTTTTCTATGTGGTTTTGTTTAGGGGTGTTCAAACGGTTTGGTTACTGTGGTAACCGTTTTAACCGGTATTATTTGGAAAATTTGGTTTGGTTAATTTGGATAATTGGTTTGGTTTGGTTAAAGTTTTTAGCTTGTTTGGTTTATGTGGTTTGGTTTGGTTTCAGACACTCCTAACCAGTCAAACCAAATTAACCAGTTAAGTAATTAGTCATATATCTAACATATATTATATACACATAATACTTTGCATAACCACTCAAGAGTTAACGTTCATCCCTTTTAGACTCATAAAATATAAAGCCCAATATTACTCATATAGTGTATATTTGTATATGTAAAGTCTAGACCACAACATATGGACGCCTAATTTAGATAAATTTGATACATTATGATGAATGAAAACTTGAAAGGAAGGTCATTTCCGGCCTATGATAATTGCTAAGAGATTAAGTCAATTTACACAAACACAACAATTCATTAACCCATACCATTGTTATAATTTTTTGTTAGGTGAATACTTCTATACTAATCGTAAGATAATTGTCTTAGTTGCATGTATTTTTGTTAAGGGTCAACTATAACTACGTGTTGATTGTTATGTTTTATTCATTATATAAATTGCGAATTGTTGCATTAACCGGAAAATTTCCATCGTCAATGATAATGTGATTTTATATTGGTTAATCTGGTTAACCAATTAACCAAACTGATTAAACTTTAGTTTGGTTAATTTGGTTGTTGTATTAGTTTGGACGGTTTGGTTATGATATTGTATTCCATGGTTAATGGAATTTAGCCTTATTTGGTTTGGTTATAACCATGGTAACCATTTGAACACCCCTAGTTTTGTTACCAAAAATCTATATTTTGTACAAATTTTAGTGCCTAAAAAATTTGTTGACAAATCTGTCGGGCTAGGAAAAGATTATGTCTGGTTTGAAATCCAAGTTAAAACGAAAAAGATAAGAGTCGATTAAAAAACTGGGGAAAATAAGGGGTTTTAACAATCTTTGCTTTTAAAAAAATTTTGATTAATTTAGATTATAAAATGGGACAGGCCCAACCAAAATGATACAAGCAAGAGGTTACAAAAGTTAGAAGACTCAAACAAAAAAGGCCCAAAAAAGTCGGTAACCCAATAGGGTCCAGACCAAGGAACAAAGCAAACCCTAACCGCCTCTTGCCTCCCTCTAGCATCCTCCACCGTCGCGGCCGAACGTCAACCGCCACTTGACCACGCATGCACCACCAACCCCACCAGCCACCGCGCGCTTAGAGGGATCTGATTCAACCGAACTCAGATGGTGGGGTGAGGAAGGACGCCTTCCAAGCAAACAACCCCGAGCCAAATCGTCGTCAGCCTTCCGTCGAACCATCATAGGGAAAACAAACAAAGCGATCGGACGGCCAGCACAGGAACCAGAGGGACGAAATCATTTGTCTTCAAGCTCTTCAGATTGTGTCCTCGCCAACAGCTACATATCCGAAGCCCCAAACTCTGCAAAGTGAAACAAGGAGGTGATCAAGCTAGTGCCCAGTTATTTTCAATCTTGTCCCGGCCTATCCAATGCCTCTTCCTATCCAAGTGCAGTCTTAGTCTTAGAGTACGCCCCTCTCATTCCTAACTAATCTATTAATTTCGCTCGAGCTCACACTAGACGAACTTGAGAATCAAATGACTTCTTTTTTAGAGTGCAAAACCCTTCTAGGAAGCCAGTACCGAAGGGTGGTATGGTATATTCATATCATAACATATGAACAGTAAGAACTAGCATACTTATTAAGCCTTACTCTATGTCAAGCATGCCAAGACTAGCCGCCGAGCATTAGCCCCATTCCATTCCTAACTGTTTACCCTAAAAATTTATCTTGTACCACATCATGTATTTACAATTATAAGGACATATCAATTATAACAATTAATATTATTTAAACTGGGCCTTATGTACTAGATTGTTAAGCCTAAACGTTCAAGTCTTAGAGAAGGCACTATTTCCATGGCGAGAAAGCTAAGTCTGGTAGACCACGTTCGTCGCGAGTCCGCTAAAATCCCTTTTGTCGCGAGTTTGATAGACCGCGTTCACCGAAAGTTTGCTAGATGACCTTTTGCCGCGTGTTTGGAGGACCAAGTTTGTCGTGAGTCCCGCGTTGGCTGTGAGATCTAGACATCTCTCGTCTCGAGTGAGCTTGACTGATTCAGGTCCAATTGTATACTTTTTTCCTCATATCTTGATCATTTGGCTTTGCATTTCATCGTACCTCGACATATTTCACGCTAGGTTGTGCTTATTTTGATACATTTCAGGTCCTAACACGTGTGGAAGGGTCGAGGACGAGTTTCGGGATAATTGGAGGTAAAAAAGCGCAAAAAATCGAAGAAAGTCTTGAACGTAACAGTGAAGCGCAGGTGTCCATGAAGCAGCCGTAGTTCACGGCCTGGCATTGGAGTTCACGGTCTCTAAGACCGTGAACTGGAGCCACAAACCATGTACATTGAGGCGTCCAGGGAGAAATCCGCAGTTACTACCGCGAGACGAGTTCATGGTCAACAAGACCGTGAAGATTGAGCACAAACTGTGAACCCAGGAGAGTGAAGCGGTGCGTTTTGGAGACGACACTGAGTTCACGGACGCGTTTAGGTGTTCACGGCCGTGAACTGGCCAACGCGGCCGTGAACTGGTCACTTTCAGGCAAATATGAAGACAGCAGCGAGGAGATAAAAGGAGAGAGCTGGTTTTTGGAGAAGGAACCCTTTCTTTCTCTATGGTTTCAACCCAAAACACCAAAGGGGAGTTCTAGTGAGAGAAGGAGTGATATTGGAGTTTAATTGAAGGCATTGATCAAACTTGGAAGCTAGGAATCAAGCCTAGAAGAAGAAGAAGAAGAAGAAGAAGAAGAGGTTTCTCTGTAATCTTCCCTCTCTCTATCTAGAAACTCGCCCTCTTCTCTTGGGTTTAAGAATCCTAGGTCTAGTTTTGGGTTTGTTGTTGATGTATGTGACAAAATCCCTAGTTTGATTGTTGATTTTACTTAATTGATGGATGTTCTCTTAAATGGCATGAGTGTGGTTTCCATTTTCATGCTTTGAGCTTTTGACCTAGGAGTGGGATAATCCCCTTAGAGCCCCTTCCTTGGTGTCTTCGGGTCACTCCTATCGTATATTATCCGGGTAGTCACCGAGGGAGTTGATTCGACCGGTCTCCTAGCAATATACAATACCCTAGGTTGAATAGAGCACTACCTATCCATTGATTCGCCGTTCCGGGTCATACCCTAGGGAGTCCATCTCCAAGCGGTAGTGTATTTGAGTCAATCGAGCTAGGAGGATACTCAACATCGATCCAAAGGTCGAAAATAGGGGGATTTAACCCAAGAGAGCTCCAACCTTGTAAATAGCTAGGTTAGTGGTTAGCTAGGTTAGTTAGTTTAATTCTTCTAATCACCATCCTAGGTTGGCTAGATAACGAACCCTAAACCTGAAGTAGGGTAAGCCTAGATCCCCGTGGTACAATAAATTCTTATTGTTTGCCCTATGCTACACCCGGTCGGTGGTTATACTTGGGTGTCGATTGGGATGTTGTAGTTAGAACGAGTCATTGACCTTGGTGGTCGCGAGATCTAGATCTAGAGCGTCAGTCGCGAGGAAGAGATTATACCAAGATAGTCGCGAGTGGGCATTGTCGCGTGGAGTTTGGTAGACCTCGTTGGTCGCGAAATCTAGATTTACTCAATCTGATATCTAACAGTCCTGGTCCTGGTGGAGAGGAGGCAAACACCAAGACTTCAGTTCCTGAAGAAAGAGAAACTTAGGCGGTTAACAAGCAGCTGCCAATTTTTCACGTTCAAGCATACGTCATCGACGTCTGAGGAAGAAGGGAAGCAGTTCTTTTTGGAAGTTATTCTCTAGACAGTTGTGTACGACGGTTACTACCTCATAGCTATAAATAGGAGGAGGGGGTTGACAGAGAAGTGGTTGGCAAAAATCACTACTCGACACCACTTGTCAATTTTTTATCAATTTATATTTTCTCTGCAACCTTTTTAGCCATAGTCGTAGTCTGAAGTTTTCAAAGAACCTTCCTAGGAGTAGGGTAATTTAATGTAAATTTTGTCTCATGGGTCATGTAAACATCGAACACCTTTGTCCGAACTTTGTTTGAAGAGGTGTGAACTATGTTAAATTAATAGTTGTCCAACAAAAGTGA